ATTCTCAATGATTGATAATATATATGAATGCATAGTTTATTGGTTTTATTGGATAAAATAAAATTTTTAAAAAGCAAGAAGACAAATGATAAACCAAAGGGAGATTAATGGAGTCTTTATACAAAATTCAGAATGGTTTGTCATGATATTTAAAGTAGGAAGAGTAGTCTCGTTTCACTGGTGTTTTTCTTTGACAAGATTTCAATAATATATTAATGATATCCAGCATTGTTTTATTCTTCTTTGCTTTACGAGAAAAAAAATCAAGTATGTGTTAGATTTTATGAAAGTTTTCCTGATGAAAACTGAGACAGGGAACGTCCAAGGACAGTTTGTTTCTTTCTACCCTACATTCTACAGAGTATTATCATTCAATCATTCAGCTTTGAAAGATACAGAAAAAGTCATTAAAAAGTTCATCATGGCAGAATGCATCATGCAGAAGGATATTTTCATTGCATTTTTGACAAGAATAAAAACTTGTCTGCATATGAAGTACGATGTCAAATATCATAGACGTACTTTTTATACAAAATCGTGTACTATAGAGTCATACTAATGAACGTTGTCACAAGTAAAATTGATAAGATATAAACAGTTGCAAATTAAGAGTTTATAATATTTTTCATCCTCATTAAGTTTTATTTAAAATGTTTATTTTTTAAAAATGTTCTTATTTTTGGTAAAATATCATGTGCAAGATCTATATTATTTCAAGAATATGATATATGTTTGAAGTAGACTGTTGTTTAGTCAGTTAATTTTAGTAATCAAATAAAATAAACAAAAGAGTAATTAGACATCAGTTCAATAAGCTTTCAAAGTTTTGACTTTTTTTTGCATTTTTAAATAAATGATCACCTGAAAAATATTCTAGAAATAAAATTGAAACCAAAAAGATAAATCTAATGAAAAAAAATTGTGTTCCCTAAACAATATAAATGTGGGCGTGGTTGTTAAGAGAAGACCTACACCCACATCCACACCCACACTCTAACACATGTCTCAACAAACTTTGTCATTAAATTTTTTTCCTACGACATATTCTCATCGCTCTCACTTAAACATGTAGTGTTTTGGCCCGATTTGTTCGTTCTATTGTTTCTCATAGTCAAACTGATCGTTTCATCACAAATGTTTTCTGAAGACGTTCTCTCTAAAATATTAAAAAAATCGCACATATTTGAAAAATAAAATATTCAAGAATTGGTCTGTGTTTATTTCGGGGAAAATAATTCGATGTTAAACTGCAGTTTTACATATGTCTGGTACATTGAAAATACTGGGATCATTAATTTGTGGCATGAAATCGCTCATTATCAATGTATTGACGCCATCTAAAATCACAGAAAATCTCAATTGATTTATCAATTTTTGAACAAATGAGTTACGTGGATTGTGAAAATAATAATGTCCAGTCAATGGTACACAACGACCATCACGACTAACCGTTACATAATTGATGTAATCTTCCATTCGTATAAACCAAGTATCACCAATCATTTTTTTATCTCCATCTTCAAAAGTAAATGAGTGTACATATACTGCTGTATCTGTTATGTCGGCGACAAGTAAGAAGAGTTTTTTAAATATTTAAAACTTAAATTTCTATACCCGGTATACAAAGAATGGGTTTGACTCGATTGATTGATTTGTAACATGTGTTTGAATCCAAATTGATTGAGTAAATCACTCCATCAATTTGATTCTCAATTGTCCACATATTCATTTTGGTATGATCGGGTTCCGTAAATGTGACACCTCTCATTCCGACTAAGCCACGATTCGCATCATACGAGAAATTATTATAGGACTATTTTGTCAATTGATTATTATTATAGTGGGAATATTTATGAATAAAAACAAAACTTACGTATGAAGTCATTGATTTTCCATCCGATAAGAGCACTCCACTTGATATGCGTATTTGTGTGCTAAATAATTTTGGTATACAACAGCGTGCAGGTTCGTCTGATAGTGAAAGCGTTGGATTTCCATGCACACCAGCCATGAGTACAGTAGCCAAAATTGCAAATGCAAAGAACATATTTTTCTTGTGCCGATGTGCGCTGTGATTTATAGAGCAAAAAAGCCAATACAAGTCTGCGAACCAAAATACATAACTCAATTACAGATCAGCGGGACCAACGCTGAAAAACAACAAAACTTTATCTTCCCATCTATAGGCTCGAGCTCAATCAGTAATTCAGCTCTTGCAGCCCTGAGACTGTCTTACTGCGACGGTACTTTATCTTCCACATTTGAGCGGAGATACTTTTATTTAATGCAAAGATAAATGATTTCTCATCATCCCGAAAGTTTCTCTTTATGAAAACAAATCAGTTGACTTGAACTCGATAGATTGCATCAATCAAATCGTTCTCATTTTTTGTTTTCTTATATCTGATTAAAATTGCCACGAAACAAATGGCGACTAAAGTATGAATTAAATGAAATTGGTGTAAAAGCTTCCTGAAAAATCGACATTATTCCATGTTTTAAACCAAACTATTCTCTCGTATTTAGCCCTTGCTTACCTGTCTTGTCAAAGTTGATTTTTTTTTGTGCATTGAAAAAACATTTGAAAAATAGATTCGAACTTTGCAATAATCCTCAATAAATACCATACAATACGTTTTAAATGAAAAGATTGTGGTGAGATAATGATATCACTGTTGGTACAGTAAACGGATAGATTGCACTGAATCGATTTTGATCGACGTCAAATACTGTCGTCATACTCAGATCAGATGTTGACTATGAGATAAATGATATTGGTTATTGATCATTGTGTCGATTATTGGTTGAGAATTAATCTCAGTGATTGTAAATGAGTAGCTTGATCAGAGCTAGAAAACATTTGGGTTTGGTGTGAAGTTTTGTTGTCATCAGCGAGACAAAGTATACCTTGAAAAATCTTTTACTTATAAAATTAAACTATTCGACATTGTTCAATTTGCCCATCAACATATGTGGCTTTTAGTAGCATTCATGATCACATGAAAAATGTGATATATGGCCTAGGTGAATCTCTTTTAGAAAAAGATTGTAATTTCTATCTTATTGGCATTTCGTAATACGAATTATGAAAACAATGAAACCACACTAAACAAAATGATGCATCCGGGTATTAGCTTGAAAGTCGAAAATTGTTTTCTTCAACAAAAATGGATTTTTTAACAGAATTTAGTTAGTCTTTTCGTGAACCAAAATTGGAAATATATGTTGAACAATAGAGCGAGAAACTTAGATCCAGTGTAGACTGACATGTTATTTTCGATTTTTCGATTATTGAGTTATTTTTTGAAACTTTGATACGTGTCTAAACCATGGTCAACGGCAGGTTTGTATATCTGTGTGTTAACCGGATATACGAACAGGATGCCTGATCAAATCGTTGCTTTTTATCATAATTTGACTCGATTTGAACAATAGCGACCATACGAAATCTACAGTGACGATCGTGATAGAATTCTTCAAGCATTGATCCTTCGGCATGATAGGGTCGTCCTTATGTGTTGACCCTAGACATCAATAACATTGTCGTTTGAAGAAGTTGTCTGTGCAATTTGCTACAGTGTATCAACGGCTCCAATACTCGCTATTTGGATTGAAATTCTAAGCGTAGCCATAGTTAGTTGATGAACGTTGCAAAAGTTTTGTAGAGTTCTCTACTCGATCACTCCGAAAATGGTATTTTATCGTTTTTTGTTGAATGGTAGTTCTCATTATCGAGCCATTTTACAATGGTAGAAAATAAGTGATGGAATTTTTTTGTTGAATTCCTCAGATCTATTCTAGTTTTTAAACAAATAACTTGAAACAACTGGGTTTATCGATGGTGACTCATCTGCTTACAAAAGCGTCTATTTTTCAAACTTTGTTTTATTAGAGTCCAGATGGGTGTGGGTGTAAAAGTGAAAGAAATTCACACCCACACCCCACACCCTTTACTTCAATATCAATTAAAAAAATGTATACTTTATTATTATTAATAAAATTGTGTACTTTTCATGAATAAAATAATGACAAAGGATCACAATTATTTTTAAAAAAATCTGATAGTCAATTATTTCATTGCAAAGTGCTGCTGTTTCCGGAGAATCTAATCTGAATTGCTTCAAAATTTTCGATTCCATTCAAAATGAAATATGCGTCAAGATTTCCACATTCATGAAAAGAAAATCATCATGTTTTGAATAAGTTGAAATCTACATCAATGAAAATCACATCAGAGTATTTCTATTTGAATCAAATTTATATTGCTTCAAAAGAAAATTTAATTTTCAGTGATAAGATTATTTTTTTATAAATCAATTCAAATTAATATGAACGTAAATCAGGAATAAGATACATTTAACTAATAAGAATCGATAATACTAAATCGAGTTCAACTTTTATTCATTGAGATTCTAAAGCTTGAAAAATGAAACGATCAATTTTTCAATCATGATTAAATTTTAATAGACATAATAAAAGTAAATGAAACAAAGCTATTTCGATCGAATTATGATTGATTTATTTCGGGTGGGTGTGGTTATGAGTGTGGATCTGTACGAAAAGAACACCATTCCGACACTGCACACCCACATCCACCCTCATATAAACATTCATAATCTTTGTTACTCCTTCATATTAAAACGAAGAATAATAATGATTTCCAGAAGATATTATGTGCTGTCTTTAAAAGTTCTTGTCTGACTGATTACTAACGACATCATTTAGACCAACGAGCATTATCGATTCTTCTGGTTTGTCGATAGCATTGTCCATTCGTTCAGTATCTTTTGCATGATTGATTGTTCGTCTTTATTTATTCTTTTTATTTATTTCTGTTTTTTTCTTATTGAATCAGTATAATAATTGTCTCTCCATTGTACTTTGTTTCATAAAACTCGAATCATTGTAAAAGAAGTATTGCGTGATTCGCAACAATGAGCACGAGCTCAGGAGCGACTCTCGGAATGGTCGGATCCTACAATTCGAGTAGTAGTTCTCAAATGGCTGCTATTGAATCATCGCTTCCTTTTATTCGAGAAGCCATCAATGTACTCGACATTTCACCTGCATCAGGTCCTCTTATTATGGCTGATTTTGGCTCAGCCCATGGACTGAATTCAACGTATGCTATGAAGAAGATCATCGAATATCTACAAGAATTTAACAAGGTTGATGGTAAAACACAACTACTTATTGTACACAATGATTTGCCTACCAATGACTGGAAAACTGTCTTTGAACTCTTGAACAGAAACAATTCGTACTATAGTGTAGCTAGCGGTCGATCTTTCTATGAATCGTGTCTTCCGTCAGATTCTTTATCAATTGGTTATTCATCAAATTCTATTCATTGGCTTTCTCGCAAACCGTGCAATATTTCGAATCATTGCATAGCTAGTTTTGCTCAAGGTGATGAACTTAAAGCATATCAAGAACAAGCTCGTCTGGATTACACTCAATTCATAAAGCAACGTGTTCGCGAACTTAAAGTTGGTGGTGTATTTATTTTAACAAATTTCAGTGTGAATGAGCAAGGTTTAAATGGAATAGAAAATAGCATGAATGTCCTTTACCAATGTGCTCAGTCACTTTCACTTCTAACACCTCAAGAACTGTTGGATTATTCGATTCCAATGTACAATCGTTCGTTGAACGAATGTGTTGATCTTCAATTATTTCATCAATGTTCATTGACATTGATCAAATCAAGTCTCGTTGAAGTAAAAACACCATTGTATAAGCAATATACCAATGGCGAAATATCTCTAGATGAATTTGCACGAACTCGTACTCAAACCACACGAACTTATACCGAATCACCGTTAAGACAAGCTTTGGAAGATAACGGTCGACTCAAAGAAGAAGTTGACAATATATTAACTCAGTTTTGGACACTCTACGAGCAAGAAGTGAAGAAGAAACCAGATGATTACAAAGCGATTATGTATAACACTTATCTTGTTTTGAAGAAAATAAAATCAGAAAAATAGAACAGAATAAATAATCGATAATATCTTCATTATTTAGGTTACTGATGTTGTTCAATAAAGAATAGAACCTGCTCGCGTATACGCAACAATTAAATAATTAATTACCTGAGATTAGGTGTGAGTCTACCATTACGGAATACTCACACCACTTCCAAGTTAATTGTGCTTTGAGATTTCACTTAATATTCAATGTTCAATGTCTTCGACAACGCATTACTTATAGTCAATATGAATTCTGATAAAATCTTGAACGAAAATGGCAGTTTTCCTGACGTTGTGAGTGCGAGTCTTCTGTTCATCAAGTAAACTCACAACTACTCGGACGCGTCCCCATTCACACTGTGTTGATTCAAATGAAAATAATATTCTCTTTAAATTTGATGTTAGCAAAGAAGTTAATTATAAAGAGAAATCCTTGTTAAAAAATACTTATATTTAATCTTTCGTAAAACATACCTCTTCGATATAATAAGCGTATGAATCATGCCAAATAATGTTGGACAAAACTAAGTAAACACTGGAATATTATTTTAATAGTTAAAGGGTGTGGAGTGTGTGAGTGTGGTTATAGATAGAGCACACCCACACTCACACCCTTCCTACATATTATTGAAAGCCATCAAAATCTGTTATGTTTTCAATATCAAAACTCTCAAGAAAACGGTTTGTTTTTTGAAAAATTTCATCTTATCTAAAGAAAGCTTAAAGATAACTATAAGTTTTCTTCGAAAAAGATTTATAAATCTGTCTCATGACTAATGATATGTAATTAAGAACTACATTGAATTATAGTTTACTTTTTACTTCATATTTTCTTAGAAGGAGATTTTTTTCAATCAATGATGATGGATGTGGGTATGAGCATTCTCTTCATTCATACAAACACTGAACAAAGACACTCACACTCACATCTACACCCACACCCTCTTTACAAGATATCGATTTCTCGATAATCGAAATTCGTAGCTTCGCACTACATCTTACCGTTGCATCAAATTCAAATACCATCATACACTAAAAGACAATCATTATTTAAATCCGGAAAGTTTGCATAATCGTTTGGATACGTTCAATTGACTTAAGGTTAGAAGAAATAATTCAAATAATTTTCGATCTGTTTTAACAGATAATTCATAGTAATAATAATAACCATTAACGCTCCATATTGATTAAATAAAATAAAAGAAGCACGTTAAATTTTATTCATTCATTGGTTAAAATTCGCCTTTGATACTGTTCAAGACCTTTTTTTCTCCTTCTTTCTTATCTATCTAACATATTATCAAAGCATAAAAGAAAAGGTCTTGCGATCTTTGTCTATTATGACAAATGTTGAATAAAGATCATTGTATAATGTGAACTATCTATGCAAGCATAAGCAGATTATAAAATTAACATGGACAGAGATACGTCACGCGAGCGAAGCATTGGTAAGTCTTCAATAGATTTTAAAACAGAACAGAAATATATCTGATGGCAATTTTGTTACTATTGTTTATCTTAATATAGTAACAAATATATCTTGAAGCATAAATATTTATGATGACTATTGACATTTTCATGAAAAAAGCAAAGATTTTATTAATAGATTAAAAAAAAGTATATCAATGAATTTTCTTTTCAAATCACTTATTACAAGTATAATAAGAAGAAATTTTTCATGGATTCTATTGTTCTTTTCATCTCTAGCTGATATTGATTCAATGCATCATTATGATCCTGTTCAATCTCCTATTACTAAACATCGGCGTATATCCATTATATCAATTATTCAACCAGATCCATTGAAAATTGTATTGCCAACAGATGAAGTAACATTGAAAAGACATATTGGTTTATTTTCAGGAGTCTGTTTTATTGTTGGTATGATAATTGGTAAATGATTACATGTTATATTGTTTGTTTACTATGAATTATTTCTGATTATTAGGTTCTGGTATATTTGTTTCTCCTAAAGGTGTTTTGCGAGAAACACAATCAGTCGGTCTCTGTTTGATCATTTGGGTTGCATGCGGTTTGGTTTCTTTAATTGGTATGTTTTTACAATATTTTGTTATATGTAAGAGACAATTTAATTTTTTTCTCTTGTTTCAGGAGCACTTTGCTATGCAGAGATCGGGACAGTAATACCGAGAAATGGGGCAGAAGTCGCTTATATAAAAGAAGGTATGCTAAAGTGTAATTTTAAAGTTTCAATTTTTCTCCGTAAATTGATCTTATCTATATGAATACATATGTTGATAGTTGACTGAAATACAGAGTTTTGTAGAGAAATATTAAAGCTATAATTTGAAAAAAAAATAGTTCGAAAATTGTATCGACATCATAGAAAGTTATGGCTATTTTATTAATCATAAGTAAGCATTTCATATCTTCGATTTTTCTGCAAAAAAACAAAAATATTATTGTAATGTATGAGTGATTAAAATGGAACGGAATATTAGTTTCTACTTATTTTTATATAATTCGATAAAGTTCGACAAACATGTGAATATTAAAAGAAACGAATGCTCATCCTGTTTTCAATACCAAAATTGCGGAAAGTCAGGCACACTAATAAAAAATCTTATATATCTTGCATAAAAATAATATTTGATATGAGTATGAGAAACCAGAACCGAAACTAACATTTTTTCATTAAGAGTGATGTCTGTTATAGTCGTGTAAAACTTGTGTCAAATCTTATATTCTCACGAATCCTATGTTCTAATAGTTTATGCAAAAACTACTTATTTAATAACAATCATGTAAATAATTGCTGTTACAATTTTGATAGTAAAATGAATCATTTTTTGGTAAATAACACAGTTGTCGAACATATAAAAGTGCAGAAAAGACCAAGTATTTGGAGATCGTGGCAAATCTCAAATTCTTACTAACTTTTAAGAAATTCTTGGTTGCTGATTTTTAACAAAAATAATCTATGATAAATAACAAAAAAAGCAGATATCAGAGATAAAAAGCGAAAAATTTTATTTCGCTCATACTCGCATTTTTCCAACTACAGTGACAAAGACGATTAGTTTCACTTCAATGATATACTCTTACGATTACCGTCAACGTTAGCACTATCCTTAATCTAGAAAATAATGCCACATTTTTCGCTAGTATATTTATTGCTAGGCGCGAAATCAGAACTAAACATTTTTTTTGATTGGGACTGGGATCAAAACAACTGGTTCCACTCAACATTACATAATATGCTTAACTTCCAATAACTTTAGTTGATCGATTCTCCCTAATGCGGAATACATGGAATCTTTATTCGTCTCTCTTATTTCCTTCAAGTTCGATATTGGAACCAGATCAGACTTTTTTGATATTCATATTCCCGTAGAGTTTGTCGGACTCTATCGAATCATATGAAAATGTTTAGAAAACAATATATTTTTTTTTGCAAAAAAATGTATGATGTAAAGTGTTTAGTCATGAACAATAATACATAAAGCAACCATAACTTTTCATGATGTCGATACAATTCGAACTATTCTCTTTGCAGCTTATAGATTTAATCTTTCTCTATAAAACTATATATTTCAGTCATTTATCTATACATTTATTCATATAGATAACGTCTATCTACAGAGAAGACTCGAGACTTGTGGATCATACTTTAAACAGAAAAAAATTAAGATTGTTGTAGAATTGTCGAGATTTCATATGTATTCCTTTCTTTAATTTTCTTTCCAAGGCACATTAAAAAAATGATATCCTAATATTGGCATATGTCTTATTATTTTTTACGAATTATTTCCTATGAAGATATTTATTAATAGGTATTGGATCAATTCATGAACGAACAGGTGATATATTAGCGTATCTTTTCAGTTGGGCAAGTATATTTATTTTGAGACCATCATCTAATGCAGTTCTTACTCTTACATTTTCTCAATACTTCTGGTCTGGCATACTGCAAGGTAAATTGACTTCTATAGACAATTGTTCATCGTGTACATTTATATGTACATTTAGAATGTGAACCTCCAGCAGAATTAATCAAAATGACAGCAATTTTTGCTATTTGTATATGCATTTTTTGTTTACTTAGTGATTTTTAAACTATTTTTTTGTTTTATAGTAATGTTGATCAATATTAATTCTATTAGTGTGTCTTTAGCTAATCGTCTTAATATCATATTTGTTATTAGTAAAGTATCGACTATTTTAATAGTAATAATAGCTGGTCTTATACGTATGGGAAAAGGTTTATTCTTGTTCTATGTAAGAAATTAAATCAAGTCATTAAACAATTTATTTATAGGATATACACAAAACTTGCAAAATAGTTTTGATGGTAGGATGCAGTTGATTAAGATAATCAAGTGAATAACATATTATCTTGTCGTATAATATAGGTACGACAAAAAATCCATTAGGTATTGCACTTGCATTCTATTCTGGTCTTTGGGCATATGATGGATGGAGTTCTCTTAATTCAGTGACAGAAGAACTCAAAAATCCTAAAAGGTATGGTTTTGCATAGATACAATCTTTTTTCTAGACAACTGAACATATTCATGTTGTTAAATCAAGTTGCGTTTTATTTATTTAAAAAGTTTAATATTAATAATATTTTTGCATTTTATAGAAATCTGTGGTTATCTATTGTACTGGCTTTACCTGCTGTTATAGTTCTTTATGTTCTTACTAATATTTCTTATTTTACTGTAATGAACAAAGCAGCATTACTTACTTCTCAAGCCGTTGCTGTAGTAGGTCGAAGAACAAAAAATCTAATCTTGTTATTAAATAATTTCTTATTGGATAGACATGGGGTGAAGCTGTATTAGGCCCAGTTGTGCGTGCTCTACCTATTCTCATTTCTGTTAGTGCATTAGGTACTGCTAATGCAAGTCTCTTTGGATCTGCTCGATGTTGTATGGTTAGTGCTCAGTACGGATATTTGCCAGAAGTATTTGCATGCATTCATATGAGAAGATTGACTCCAATGCCTGGTGTTGTTCTTCAGGTTATGTTGTTGTTTTTTCACATTTCAATTA